ACTGAATGGCTTATGAGATGGCGGACCCCTTAGACCAGAGGCCAGGAGGGTGGATGGAGGATCAACTTGGGTGATTCAGGGTGGGTAAGGGTATTCAAGTGGTGACAGGCATGGGACATTATGACGGGAGCCAGAGGGCAGGCTGTTTCAGGGGACGGCGCCCCTAAAGTGTTATACCTGTGGCGTGTTCCAGCCCTCTGCGCTCAAGCCCAGACCCTGGTCAGTGGACCTACGGAGGCCTGGGCTTTCAGCTGCTGCTGATGAATGCCATGTCAATTACAATAAGGTCCCCTTTATTCCTGACATTATTGAGGAGGAGCAGGCTGACCTGGCATGCATTACCAAGACCTGGCTGACAACAGAAGGGGGTGTCCCCCTTTTGGAAATGTGTCCAGCCAGGTTTAAGGTTTGGCACTAGCCAAGACCCCAGGGTAGGGGAACTTGTGGCAGTTGTCATCCGGTAATCTCTATTTGCCTTCAGGGGCTCTGCTCCACAAGTTGCTGGTTGTAAGATACTGTTCCTGAAGATGGGCTCATGGGATCAGTTGGGAGTTTTGCTTCTGTACCAGCCTCCCTGCTGAATAGCAACCTCCCTGCCTGAGCTGCTGGGGGCCAACTCAGGGTTGGCAGTGGAGTTCCCCAGGCTTATGGTCTTGCGGGACTTTAACCTGCCATCCTTGGGGTTGGCCTCAGAAGTGGCTCAGGACGCTCCCATGGCGGCCATGGGCCTATCCCAGGTCATCCATGGCCCCTCAGGACAGTGGTCACACTCCGGACATGGTTTTCTTGTCAGAGCAGTAGCAATGTGATCTGGTGGGGGATTTGGCATTGTCCCCTTTGTAATGGTCAGACTACTCCCTGGTGGCCTTGAGATTCTCTTATGCTTCCCCCTCCACAGGGAGGTGGGACCTATTTGAATGGTGATGGACCACTTGGGTTCCAAAGGGAGCTGGGGGGTTTTCCTGAGGCCTTGCTGTACGGTCCAGTGAAGGCCCTGGCCACAGCCTGGAATAGGGAGGCAGGCAGGGCCCTAGACAGGATTGCACCTGTGCGTCCTCTCTTGGTCCATCACCCCTGGCACTCCCCATGGTTTACAGAGGAGTTAAGGGTGCTGAAAAGGGCCAAGAAATGTGTAGAGCACCGTTGACAGAAAACAAAGGACGTTTGACCAAACACGGGTTAGAGCCGCTGTTAAGGCCTACCTCATGGCAGTAAGAGCGGCAAAACACCATTATTTCTCTGCTCATCGCATCCACAAAATGTCACCCGGCGGCCCTATTTAGGGTCACCCAGTCCCTCCTGGGTAGGGAGGGCTCAGAGGACCACCTACAGGGCCATGCAGAGGAATTTGCTGAACACCTGATGGATAAAATCGCTCAGATCCGTGCCCAGTTGGAGGCCAAGCATGATGCAGGTCCAGCCTGGGGAGCGGACTTACCCAGTTATCTGGGAACGGTTTGATCCTGTTGGACCTGAGGAAGTGGACACAGTCCTTGTGGCTGCTAGCATGGCTATCTGTACTTTAGATCCTTGTCCCTCCTGGTTGGTTAAACCCTCCAGGGAGGTGACATTGGGGTGGGTACTGGCAGCGATCAATTCATCCTTGCAGGAGGGGGTGTTCCCATAGCCTTTTAAGGAAGCCCTGGTCTGCTCCCTCATCAAGAAGCCATCGCTAGATCCCACCCTTCTGGACATTTTTTGTCCAGTTTCCCACCTTCCCTTTTTAGGAAAGGTTGTGGAAAAGGTGGTCGCGCAGCAGCTTCAGTGGATCCTGGAGGAAACGGATTATTTGGACCCCTATCATGTTTCAGACCCGGTTATGGGGCAAATACAGCATTGGTCACACTTTTAGATGATCTCTGGCAAGAGCGGGATGGGAGTAGTGTGTTCATCCTTGCTCTTCTTGACCTCTCAGTGGCTTTCGATACCATCGACCATGGTATCCTTTTGGGTCAGCTGCAGGAGTTGGGGATGGGAGGCACAGTTCTGTGCTGGCTCAGATCCTTCCTCCAAGGCCAATCCCAATCGGTGTTGATAGGGAGTGAGAGGTCCAGCCTGCGGCCCCTACTTTGTAGGGTGCCTCACAATTGGGTGCTCTCACGCTCCTATTTAACATCTACATGAAACTGTTGGGTGAGATCATCTGGCACCATGGGATGAGGTATCATCAGTATGCTGCTGATACTCAACTATATATCTCCATCCCAGGTGACCTAAGTGATACTGTGGCTACCCTTTCGCAGTGCCTGGAGGCTGTAGGGACCTGGAGGCTGTAGGGGCCTGGATGGAGGCCAACAGGCTTCAACTGAACCCTGGTAAGACGGAGTGGCTATGGGTATGGGGAGCCTTAAGTTCTAGGAGCTTATCATCCTTGGTCCTTGATGGGGTTGCACTACCCCAGACAGACCCGGTGCGTAATCTGGGAGTTCTCCTAGACTTACAACTCCTGTTCAAAGAGCAGGTGGCAGTCGTGGTTAGGAGGTCCTTTGTGCGACTTCGTGTTGTGCACCAGTTATGCCCCTTCCTGGATCAGGAGGCCCTCCACACGGTCAGTCACGCCCTGGTCACCTCCCAGTTGGACTACTGCAATGCACTCTATATGGGGCTACCCTTGAAGAGTATCTGGACACTACAGCTGGCACAAAACATAGTGGCGCGGACAGTTTTGAGTGCCCCTAGGGGGACACATATAACACCTCTGTTGTGCAAGCTACACTGGTTGCCAGTTTCCAATTCAAGTGTTGGTTATTACCTTTAAAGCCCTTCATGGCACAGGACCGGGTTATCTGAGGAGCTGTCTCGTCCCTGTTATATCAGCCTGCCCCACTCAGTCTGGCAGAAGGGGCATGTTGTGGACCCCACCAGTCAAGGAATTTTGGCTGGCAGGGTCTAGGAAGAGGGCTTTTTCTGCCATGGTCCCCACCCTGTGGAACAACTTACCATCTCAGGTGTGGTGCGCCCTCACTTTCATGGCCTTCAGGAAGAGTGTGAAATCTTGGCTATGCCAGATGGCCTGAGGGCCTGATGGGGGCTCGCATTGTTGGACTTGGCTTGCGGGGTAGTTGATTCTGCCCCTCTGTCATCTTGAATTTTATAGACTTTTTATGTATATAGTTTTTATATATTATTTTTCAGCTAATTTAATATGGATACTTATATTTTTACTGTTTTTAATGTTTAATTTTAATTGTAAGCCGCCCAGAGTCACCCTCTGGGGGAGATGGGCGACATATAAATTTAATAAATGAATATTTTTAAAAATAAGAAACACTTGCAGCCTATGGTTAGAGTGCTATGAGTTGCAAAAAAAGAAAAGCTTTTTAACACATATTCTTCTACACTTAACAATGTTGGTGAATACTTCATACTTCACAACTGAGAAGATACTGCACCACACTCATTGCAATGAACCTACTGAACAATTCAATTTGAAAGAAATATCAACACTGTTGTCTGACACATAACAGGAGTATAAAGCTATAGTCTGTATCCTGTCCAATTGGCTAGTGGCAACTTTGAGTTCAATTAATAGTAAACTGAATGATACTTGACTTAGTCAAAATGAAAGTGTGGTTAGTCTTGAGCCAATAATGAAGACAACATGCTAGATGGGGATATAGATCAAATATAGATCAAAATTAAGGAATGCTTCTAGACAGGCTTATGGAGTCTCTTGGCTGGGTAACTGTAAGTACATTGTCAGCATATAATTTCAATTTATGTTCTTGAGTTGCTAGCTTAACTCCTGAAAATTTATTTTCTTGACCTATTTGGATTGCTAATGGTTCTAATCACAGCAAAAATAAAAGGGGAGAAAGGGGCAACCTTGTCTTGGCACTTTCTTATGATAATGAGTCATATACTATCTTAGTTTTTTTGTTTTTCATACATACCCTGTATCCATGTGAAAAAAATTGAAGTCATCTTTTCAAAACTCAAAGGCTTTTTCTGCATTAAGAAAGAAAATATCCACTTTGATTTTTTAAATTTATCTTGTCAATAACATTCAAAATATGAGTGATGTCCCTCATTTATCTCTTCAGAACAAATCCAGTCTTATCAGAATGTACTATTTCAGTTAAAAAACCATATATTCTCTTTGCAAGTATTGCTGTGAAAAGCTTATAATTATGTTCAATACGGAAATAGATCTGTAAGGATGAGTTGGATCTTTTCCTTGTCAAAGAGAAAAAGACTTATTTCTATGACAGCAGTAATAAGATAAGAAGGAAGGAAGGAAGGAAACTTATACAACAAACAATTCCTGTCCTGGTTATCTGCAAATGAGGAAACAGCCACTAGGGATAGCTTTTGAAACAAGACACAGAAAACTTGCAAAAGTCACAGCTGCTTTAACAAGTCAAGAAGAGGTGCTTAATTCTTATCAAACCATGTTGCAATGCACTTCTTTTGAATGCTTTACACAGCCCAAGTTCCCAATATACATTAACACATTTAAAATTATTAATCATTCTTTAAAAAAAAAAAAAAACCTGATTTGCAAGAACAGGACATTCAAGCTTGTTAATCAAGACACTGTATGAATAATTAACAATTTAATCTACTTCCTTCAACCGAGAATACGGCGTTACACATACATACACAGATTATTATAAAAAGTAACAATTGCTACTAGGTACACAGACTTGTTAATGTTAGCTAAATAAGGTTCCCATCTTCAGAAACACTATACTTCTGAAACCCAGCTTCTGGATTCATAAAACAAGTCTTGTCTGAATGTGCGCTACGGGTGAAAGACTGACAGTTGCGGGGAGCAGAACGGAGTCTGGGTCAAGGTCCTCCAAGCCCATCGAAGAACCGCCGCCAAGAAGACGAACGTACTCGAAGCGCCTGATTTCAACCCCAACCCTCGCCGGCTTGGCTTCGTAAACATCCCGCAGGCCGCCGCCGCCCGCCAGTTACCGAGAGACTATTGCGCACGCGCAGGCCGGCTCTTCCTACTTTTGTCGGAATAATCACTGCCAGTTAGACAGAAAACCCTCACTGGACAACCGAAAGAGAGGGAACGGCGTTACTCGATCATGTCTTATTGTTCTAACGAGCGGCGATGTCGTAATCAAAATAATAATAATAAGGAAATGGAAGCAAAGTGCGTTCTTTTTGCCCATAACTACATATGCTTGGATTTGCTACCTGTTCTACGCGCGAAAGTATGGGATTACGGATTTTTGCTAAGCAGTTGTTCTTCCCTAAGCTTTCCCACCGTGTCGGAATTTGAGAAGATCAGGAAGGAGCGGCTAATAGTGCGGCGGTGGGAGGGGACAAAGAAGGTCTAGCCTTCTACTCCAGTCTTGAAGAGGGAGCAGAAAATAAAGGCTGGTAATGGTGGTGCTTCGATAAGAGTAAAGCTTGCTGTTGTCTTTTAAAAGCTAAGACTGCTGGCGTTGCAATTGCAGAACATTTTTTTTCTTTGTGTCCCATTACTGGGTCTTAGGAAGTAGTGATAACCACAACAATACAAACATTCTGTTTGGATCCCGGCTTACGTTCCTCTATTTGTAAATCTACGACCGCTAGTGCGCATGTAAAGTGGTGGGGCGTTCTTTGTCAGGCTAAAATCTCTGGTTCCTTTTATCTAAAACGAAGAGGAAATCGGCAGCATCGAGGAGAAAGGAAGGGGAAGTCTGAGAAGGCCTTCATGCACAGAAGTCTGGTAACATACATGCATATATATTTGTGTTTATTTCGAGGAAAAAACCGTTTCAGACAAGCACTTTGAAATCCTCTCTCCTCCCCGTTATCAATTGCCTTAGGCAACGCTTAGAATGTTTTCCAGCTAGACGAAGACTTCTTTATTTCTTTACTGTTGAGAGAGATCACAAAATAGCCTCAGTATCTAGGAGTAAGCCTCCCTGAGCGAAGAAGGGTATCACTGAGTAAATGTGTTGCTAACGTTATTTAATGTAAGCAGGGAGATTAGGTACAGCTTTCCGAAATCTAACATTAATAGAATACTTTATGATTATAATTAGTTGCTTTGGTTCTAAAGTTAGGTAGAACCATGATTTTTTAAAAAGTTGGTGTTTCTCCTACCTGTTTTTTTATACCTGTAAACACTGTGATCTTGAAAACGTCCAGGCAGACAATGTTAAGATAAATTTACCCTTTAACAGGAATCTTGAGCAGAACCTAGATTTTGTATTTTGCATGTTTTTTGTTTCTTTTGCAAAGTTTGAACGCAACCAGTTCTTCACATCTTAGTTATACAGTTATTTTTCTGGAAGTAAAAAATAATTGTACTTTACTTACATATTTACATTCTTCCCTTATTTTGCTTACATTTCTATTTGGTTTATATACAGTACGTTTAGCTTTCTCAGATCTTACACAATTTTTTTCTTTTGGTTTGCATGTCCCAGGATAGTGTCCAAGAGGTTATAAGGGTTCTTCATGATGCACATTTAGAGACTAATACTCTCTCACGCTGTCTCCAAAGCTGAGTCTTAATACCTTGGCAATTCTGGACCAGAAGGACCTCAAAGGGGGTGTGGCAAGAAGGGCCACCAGCTAATGCACTAACAATTTAGATCTGCTTAGGAGTTGGTCTCTATAAATATACCTTCTATACTTGTTATTTTTAAAAAGGAAGGGAAGTAAATAATGCTTAATTTTGCTTCTGTTCATCTGTTGCTTTTTCAGGGAATTTGGAGATGTCACATACTCTAGGTGGAGTATGGATTACTGTATTACCAGGTGATAATTATATTCACTAGAACACTTATTTAAAGATATTAAATAAGCATTTTTTAAAGAATATTTATGTCCTAAACCTGTTTAGGACAATTGCCTTAAACTTGCCTTTATGAGAGGTCCAGTGTTCGAACAGCTAGTGGGTAAATGACAGAAACATACAGAGTAGGACTTCTTGCTGTTTCAGAGAATTAGCAAATGACAGTTCCCCCCCCCCCCCCCAAGATCAGCTAAATATCTTTCACCTCCTCTTCTGAACACTGCTGTTACTAAAGTTCTTGGTCTGCTTGCTTTGCTGATGATATATAGATCGGAGTACAGTGTCTAAATACAGTGTATGCCTTATCTGTAAATCAGTTTGTTAATGGCCCTGTCAAGCAAGTAATTATTATTTTGTTCAGACAGTATCCTGGTTCAGATAGGAAGCTTAGTCTGATTCAGTAATCTGCATTTGGGCAGAAAGGAGGTTTGACATAACCTGTTGAAGATGACAGCATAAGGCATTAATTCTGTACTTCTAAGTTCTCCAACGGTATTTTTTATTTGCAACTGTTTATATTGCTGGAATGCCACTTAAGGAGAGTTGGGATATAAATAAATATAGGTAATCATAGTGTAACTTGGTTAGAAATTCTTTGACAAGTTCAAGAAGAATCACAAACATCTATCAGAGGAAAGTTTAAGCCATTACTTCCGTTACTGAACTCTCATTCTCCCAAACATCAAGTGACACCAGGGATCAAGAAGAGGAAAAGATATTTGACTCAACTGATGATTGAATATAAAAGCAAAGATTCTGCAGAGGAGACATTCATAACCTAGCTCATGCTAATCTGTCTCCTAAAAACTGCATCTTAATCCATGATGTAAATTTAAATCCCCAGGCCTTTATTTTACTTTATCTTATATTCTCAATTTCATACTCCTCTATCATTTATTTAAGTGTTCATGGTGATACTAATCTCTTATAAAAGTGAGGTATATGCTAATAACACAGAGTCTATATGCTTATCTCACCTTTTATATTTTATTTTTCTGCTGCCCCTAAATATTTGTCTAGGAGAACATAAACAATATAATGTATTTTTGGATAACTTTGACCTTATTGCTCAAAAGTCTTTTTCCTTTTCCTTTTGTTGAAACAAAAAATAATTCAAGTGATGAAAATGCATCATCAATCCATTGCTGCAAATTAAGTATAGATTTCTCCTTCCAATGTTGCATAATAATTATTTTTGTCAACTGTTATGCTTGGGAGGTCCACAGTTCTTGATGCCTTGATGGATTCCAAATCCTAAAGATATAGCAAAAAAAAATAAATAAGTACATGCATCTTTAACACTCAGTAACCGTTCTAGTCTTATATAATTCCTGTGAAGGAATAAATAAAAATTAACAGTCCTATTGATTTCAGTCCAAAATATGGTAATAATGGGACAAATCCAATCCATCTGAATTAGTGTTCCAATTTTTTTTATAACATCTCCAGTATAACATGACTGCAACCAACCCTTATTAAACAGACTCTAGGGTCAATGATTAAAAGTCATAGGATGTGCAAAATTTGTTCAGTCAGGAGTAGACTATTCTGGTTAAGCAAAGAGCACCCAAAATAGTGTCCTGTCTCCTGTCTGTATTGAACACATTAAGCCAATGTTCTGTGTCTACATTGGAAAAAGCATGTTAAGCCCTAGGATAATGAGCTGTCACAGGAGTAAGTTGAAACAAATGTTCCAATCAAATGAGATGACAGTCAGATGTGACTTTGATTATAGGAACCTTCCCCACCCCCATGGACTTTTTTCTGTAAAACAGAAAAAAAAATGAACTTATGATCTATGGCTTTGATGATTAGATAGGATAGATAATAGAAAGAAGAGAGTCATGATGTAATTTTAGAGAAAGAGGTAAATCTACAATTACACTTATAACTGTTGTAAAGAAGATCGGAAGCCACTTCTTTGTCTTTTCTTTTTTTCCTTTTTGCACTTTAGCTTTCTCTTTTATTCCTTTTTTCTTTTTTCCTTCTTACTCTATTTTAGTTTGTATTTTTATTCTTGTTTTTAAAGCTTTCAATAACATATATTTTTTAAAAGATTGTAGGAATCTTCCCCCTAAAATGTGTCTACACACACACATACGCACATTGCCACATAGTCTGCTGTTTGCAACAGATATTTGAGGAAATAAATTATGCCCCAATCAAAAGAGATCCCTCTGAACTCAGAAAAAGGATAGTTGATGATCTTGGTGCCTTTTCTGTTGTGGCGCCTGCCCTGTGGATTTTGGGAGGTTGCAGTAGAAACAGAATAACAAAGGATCTGCAGGCTGTTGTTGCACTCTCTGATATGAGTGTTCATGAGTGCACTACAAAGAGAATACCAAACAAGAATGGGATGATACCAAGGAGAAAATTGCTCTCCAGAAACCACATTGCCACCATCTTCAAGGACCACCAGAATGATCCCGCAAACTGTTAGAATAATGTTCTGTGGATGATTGAGATGAAGGTGGAGTTTTATGGCATGAATAAGAAACTTTGGAGAAAACAAAGCACAGAAGAAAATTCAAGCAAAATAACAAGTCCAACTGTGAAGCATGGTGCTGGAAATATCATAGTCGGGGGCTATTTTGCAGACTCAGCAGCTGGAGGGACAATGGATTCTGGATTGTATTCCAAATTCTAAAGGAGAAAGTCAGAGTATCCATCTGTGAAGTGAAGCTTAAATGAATGTGAGTCATGCAGCATGACAGTGATACTGAACATAGAAATATGAAGCAGAATGGATGAAACAGAATAAATTTTGGATTTTGGAATGGCCGAATCAAAGCCTTGCTCTTAATCCTACTGAAATATTTTATTGAGCAGAAGTGAGTACTTCATGTAAGAGAACCCCAAAATATCAGTGAACTGAAGCAGTTCTGTAAAGAGGATGATGGTACACCAAGCAGATAAGCAGAATTGATCCACAGATAGAGGAAATGTTTGTCTGAAGCCATTGCTGCTATGATTTTACATAATTTTTGCAATAAAGTGAACCCTTAAAATATTCCTACCATCCCAAATCAAACATGTCTTGGGAATGTTGGAGGGGCAGAGTATGGGAGAAAAAGATCTGCCAGTAAGATGGACAACTGCATCCAGACTTGACTAGGGAGGATTTTGCACCTACAGTGGTAATGATAAAGTTAGCACCATGGCAAGAGACAGGGAGTGCTGGTTGAGGAATCTTTCTCCATCACAATAGTGCTTACTGGTCTAGTAGACCTATGCCTTCCCAATAGCAACCAGGGATGGAGTCATAAATGGAACAATTATGTCCTCTTGATTTATAACCTGTGGATGGTAGCAATGGGGCTTAGGAGGGACCAGCATTTTCCCTGCAATTTATGTGAGTCTATGTAGTTGGAGTCAAGCATTGGAAGCCTGCATCTTCTACTGCACTGAAGGTTGGTTATTCAAAGCCATCATTTGGAGTACAGCAAATGCGATCTGTGGTGGCTTTAGGCTATCCTGCCTCCCTCTCCCTCTCTCTCTCGCCTTTAGCCTGCCAACTGCTCACTTATCCACTGTTGTGACATCTTGCTATATTTTAAACCATGGGTTTTGCTTCTCCTTCAAGAGCACTATTTGCATTGTGTTGCCCGCAGATTCAAGGATGCCTGCTGATGCCTATGCAGATATTTAAGCACCCCTGACATCAAAGAATGCAGTGGGTACAGACAACATAGTATGGGGCACCTAAATGCAGGCTCACATAAATGGTAGGGAGACTGCTAGTCCCTCCTAGGCCCTATGCCTGTCATTATCTATAGGGCCAGTAATTCCCTCTCAGCAATAACTGACATTAGGCTTTGCAGCAAGATGTTTGATAAAACTCATCACATCATGCATAAATAGCTTTGCTGTAACAATTAGGCAAGCGCAGTGCAAAAACAAGCGGATTCTGCAACCATGTGGGA